CGCCCTTTGTTCAGGTAGCCAACCTCCAAGTTTCTAACGCCTGGACCTTCACGTATGAAACAGGTTGTCTCCTACCGAATTACATTCTTATTTATGAACAATTTCAATTAAGAAGTTTACATTTATATAACACCATCTTCTAGATAATATTTGATTTTGTCTGAGAAAACCAAATCCTCCGGGTGCCTCTTTTTACTGGTTCAGAATTACTGATGGAAAGTGGAAACCAATGGCGAGCATTCCGAAATAGTTTGTAAAAGAATTTCTGAATTGATAAAGAAAATTGTTCAGACCAGGTTTCGAACCTGGGACCTTCCGCGTGTTAGGCGGATGTGATAACCACTACACCATGAGAACACGTTGTTATTTGTGAACGAGAATTTCAATTATTAAGAGAAGTTTTAGAACATTTTATATATTTCATCTTCTAAATAATATTTCGATTTCATCCTATGAGAAAAAACAAATCCTACGGGTGCCTCTTTTTACTCGTTCAGAATTATTGACGGAAAGTGGACTCCAATGGCGAGAATTCCGAAATATTTTGTAAAAGAATTTCTGGATGGATAAAGAAATTTGTTCCCACCAGGTTTCGAACCTGGGACCTTCCGCGTGTGAAGCGGACGTGATAACCACTACACCATGGGAACACGTTCTAATTTATGAACGAGAATTTCAATTATTAAGAGAAGTTTTAGAACATTTTATATGTTTCATCTTCTGAATAATATTTCGATTTCATCCTATGAGAAAAAACAAATCCTCCTGGTGCCTCTTTTTACTGGTTCAGAATTACTGATGGAAAGTGGACTCCAATGGCGAGCATTCCGAAATATTTTTTAAAAGAATTTCTGAATTGATAAAGAAAATTGTTCCCACCAGGTTTCGAACCTGGGACCTTCCGCGTGTGAAGCGGACGTGATAACCACGACACCATAGGAACACGTTCTTATTTATGAACACGTGAATTTCAATTATTAAGAAAAGTTTTAGAACATTTTACATGTTGTCATCTTCTGAATAATATTTCGATTTCATCCTATGAGAAAAAACAAATCCTCCTGGTGCCTCTTTTTACTGGTTCAGAATTACTGATGGAAAGTGGACTCCAATGGCGAGCATTCCGAAATATTTTGTAAAGAATTTCTGATTGATAAAGAAAATTTTCCTACCAGGTTTCGAACCATCTTCCATGTAAAAGCGGACGGAATAACACTACACCATAGAACGTTCTTATTATGAAACGAAATTTCAATTATTAGAGGTTTTCGAACATTATATATATATGTTTCATCTTTTTCGAATAATATTTCGATTTCATTTAAGAGAAAAACAAATCCTCCGGGTGCCTTTTTTATGGTTCAGATTATGATGGAAAGTGGATCAGCCAATGGCGAGCATCCGAAATATTTGTAAAAGAATTTCTGGATAAAGTGTTGTTCCCACAGTTTCGAACCTGGGACCCTCCGCGTTAGCGGATGATGAACCACTACACCATGGAACACGTTTTATGTTCATGAATTTCAATATTAAGAGAGTTTTGAACATTATATATGTTCTATCTTTCGTAATATTTCGATTTCATCCTAAGAGAAAAAAAAATCCTCCGGGTGCCTCTTTTTACTGATTCAGAATTACTGATGGAAAGTGGACCCCAATGGCGAGCATCCCGAAATATTTTGTAAAAGAATTTCCGGATTGATAAAGAAATATATTCCCACCAGGTTTCGAACCTGGGACCTTCCTCATCTGAAGTGGATGTGATAACCACTACTCCATGGGAACACGTTCTTATTTATGAACGAGAATTTCAATTATTAAGAGAGGTTTCCGAACATTACATATGTTTCATCTTCTGAATAATATTTCGATTTCATCCTAAGAGAAAAAACAAATCCTCAGGGTGCTTCTTTTTTATTGGTTCATAATTACTGATGGAAATTGGACCCCAACGGCGAGCATCACGATATATTTGTAAAAGAATTTCTGGATTGATAAAGAAATTTGTTCCCACAAGGTTTCGAACCTGGGACCTTCTGCGTGTGAAGCGGACGTGATAACCACTACATCATGGGAACACGCTCTTATGTATGAACGAGAATTTCAATTATTAAGAGAAGTTTTAGAGCATTTTTTTTTATATGTTTCATCTTCTTAATAATATTTCGATTTCATCCTAAGAGAAAAAACAAATATTCCAGGGGACTCTTTTTATTGGTTCAGAATTACTGATGGAAAGTGGACGCCAATGGCGAGCATCCCGAAATATTTTGTAAAAGAATTTCTCGATTGATAGAAAAATTTGTTCCCACCATTTTTCGAAACTGGTACCTTCCGCGTGTGGAGCAAACGTGATAGCCACTACACCATCTATTGGTTCAGAACTACTGATGGAAAGTGGAAACGATGGCGAGCATCCCGAAATATCTTGTAAATGAATTTCTGGATTGAAAAAGAAATTTGTTCCCACCAGGTTTCGAACCTGGGACCTTCCGCGTGTGAAGCGGACGTGATAACCCCTTCACCATGGGAACACGTTCTTATTCTTGAATGAGAATTTAAAAAACACACTCTGGCTACCTCTTTTTCTTGGTTCATCATTACTGATGGAATGCAGACCCAGAAGGTGAGCTTCCCTTAATATTTTGTAAAAGAAATTCGGAATGAGAAATACAATTCTTCCCACCAGGTTTCGAACCTTCCGAGTGTGAAGAGGGCGTGATAATCACAACACCGTGAGAACGCTTTCTTATTTATGAACGAGAATTTCAATTATTGAGAGTTGTTTTAAAACATTTTATGTGTGTGTGTTTCATCTTTTAATAATTTTTAGATTTCTTCCTTGCGATAAAAAGAAACACTCCGGCTCCCTATTTCTCTTGGTTCAGCATTACTGATGGAAAGTGGACCCAGGAGGTGAGCTTCCCGTAGTATTCGGTAAAGGAAATTCGTAATTGAGAAATATAATTTTTCCCACCAGGTTTCGAACCTGGGACCGAAAGCGTGTGAGGCGGTCGTGATAACCGCTACACCATGGGAACACGCTCTTATTCATGAACGAGAATTTCAATTATTAAGAGAGGTTTCATAACATTTTATATGTTTCATCTTTTGAATAATTTTTAGATTTCTTCTTTGCGATAAAAAGAAACTCTCCGGCTACCTCTTTCTCTTGGTTCAGCATTACTGATGGAAAGTGTCGTCCAGCGATATCTTTCTCTTCTGTTAACTTGACTCCTGAACAATGGTCCCAAATGCGACTCACCGTTGCTATCGGTGAAAGAATTTTGGGAATGCCTTTAATCCCTATTTTTCGACATTTGTTCCCTGCGGTCTTCCGTTTGGAGGGGCATGTGATGACCATTTCACCTTGACTTTGCTTTCCCATTTGTTATGAAAAGCTTAATTTTTCTTTAAAACCTTGTCTGCCCTGTCTGTTTGATTTCATTTATACTTTTTCTGATTTCACTATCAAAGTCTCCCGTCTCTAATGAGTGTAATTTTTGTTGTTTTTTATTGACTTGACTTCTCTTCTAAGTTTATTTTATTTTCACTTTTAATATAATCCTATTTATCGCTATCCAATCTCCGAACGGGATTTGGTTTGAAAGAGTGTCAAACCAACGATTGGATGACTTATTTGTTCGAAATGATGAGTATATACTTTTAAGTTTGATTCCCTTTTCTTAATTTTGAAATTGTATCTTTAAGAGTAAAAGTGTTTTTAGTCCAGTTTATCTATATGAACTTTAAATTGTGTTTGAGGAATTAGGATTTCTCTTGGTTTCTTTAACCATTTAACTGAATAGTTTTCTTTGCTATCTAATACTCCTGTTTTGAAAAGGGGCTGTCGTTTTCATTCATCTAAGAAGGCCTAGGATACTTAAGATGTTTATGGATCCTACATATTTTTTGTGTCAAATTATTAAGCTAATTAATGATTCAATTTTAGTTTATAACACTAAAATTTCGATAATTCGATGCACGAGTATTCTCGGGCTGTTAAGGTAAGCGTTTAAAAGTGTTTTGATATGTAAAATTGGTTTTACCCGGCACAAACTGTTCTTGATGACTGTAAACCATTCTAGTTTTGAGACCAATATTTCTATAAATCATAGCCAATGTTTGCTTTAAATTATGTCAGTCTTTTCTGTATGAATTTAGAAATAAGGTTTGAGCATAAAGTGTTAATAAATAAGAATTTAGCACTCTGTACAGTGCTAAGTATATGGGGTATAAACTATTAAATGTGGTTTATAGGTATCTAGTAGATTATCCTGCGTTGCCCGGTCTTTTTCTTATCAAAACCTTGGATTGAGAGGAAAAGGGAAAGTTTTTTAAAAAACTGCGAGTACTTTGTTATATATTAGGTTTATAAACCGCACCCGCTATCAAAGGGTTAACTATAGTAAATAAGGGGTCATCTAATTACATAGTAAATGTCAAACAGAAGCGTGAGTCAAATTGCGTTATCAGCAGCCAACGTGTGAAAATATGATACATATAGCAAGAATATTAGGGGTTTATATTATAAAAGATAATTAACTTACTTGTATCTCAAAGTATTCGGTTTCCTGATAGGAAATCGGAAATGTGTTGTAATGCGATTATCTGTAAATACATAACCACAAATAGGTTCTCTTAGAGAAAACGATTTTACATAAAATCACCCTAATGTCGACAAAATATGTGATTTAGTTTCCGTAAGAACACTGAACTTATTTTCATCTTATTACACACAAACAAAAAAAATTATTTTAAAATCTTGAGTATCATATAACTTGAAAATCTGAAAAATTATGATATTTTTCATTAAGAAAATTATCGTAAAAATATACTACTACCCAGAAATAAGTAAAAAATGTTTAGCAAATGCATAATCCTTAAAGATATATTTTAATATAAATTCAATATTTTAATATAAAACAATTTTACACCATGCGTACCTAATTTTAAAAACTTCTTTTGAGAATAATGCAAAAACTGTATATTTTAAGTGCAAAATGATAGATATTTTATTAAACAGTATCCTTTTCATTACATTTTTAAATCTTAAGTTATGAGCTTTAGAAATTTTTCGAATCTATGCATACTATTCATTTACGGAATCGGCTAATTGTACCCTATTTTATGAGGATATAATTGAAACATCGACGTTTTGATAGTACGAAAAATCTCAGTTCCCTTAAAATAAAGATTATCACTTTAGGACGTATAATAAATCAGAAAATCTATGCCTAATTCAGTTATATTCCTCTAGCAATCGTATTTAAATTTTACCAATTCAAATTATAAATTAGTAGGACAGTCGACCAAATATTCAACTTCCTAAAATTTTTATTTCATTCATCTCTTTTTCTCCGTTCAATAATATTTTAACAACTATCATTTGTTTTTTATTATTTGTTTATTATCATTTATCATTTATTTTTGTTGCCATTCTGCTTAAAATAAATTTCAAATAAACAAAAATAATATTGTGAAACTAGTGTGTAACAATACTGTTTGTAAAGATGAATCTACCTTTAGCGATATTTTTTTGGCGCCAAATCTGGTACCAAATTTCATCTCCCAAGCCGCCGAAATCGCCAAGCGAGTCAATCGGCCTATTTGTTACGTGCATTTTGGAGATTTCCCCCCACCCTACTCTGAGGAACTGTGTTAGGGTTTGTTTACCCCTCCTATACTTCAAGTTAATGAGGAACATGTGTAGTGTATCAAGTTTCATTAAAATCCTTTTGGCCGTTAGGAAGTGATGCTGGAACAAACATACATACATTCAGTTTTATATATATAGATTAATACTGGGTATTATCTATTAAATGTGATTTATTGTTAAATAAAGCTTTTTATAAGTTGTTTGTATATCTATATGTGTAAAGCGGATTGGCGCAGTACTAACAGTACTAATTGCCTGTAAAGCATTATAGTCTTTTGAGTAATTTATATTTAAATCATAGCTTATAGTTGCTGCAAATTGTATCAGTCCGTTTAATATGAAAAATTGGATTTAGGATAAAATTGTCAATTTATATCAGAGTACAAAGAGTATAGTTTATTTGGAACAACTAATATACATCAGCGAAAACGACCACAATACCGTAGGGTGGTTGCAACAGTATGTCATCAATGTCTGCAATATGTATTATCAATTAATGCCTTTAGGGCCAATAGCTCTGTATAGTTTTTTATGTTTTGTTTAAACTTTAGTAATAGGTTTTGTAAAGTGTTTGCCCAGGTAATAAGTATAATCTTTAATTTTGAGTAAAAATTTAATCGTCCAGGTGATATTTTCAACTTTAAATTGCTTTTCTAGGAATTGAAGCTTTTTCTTCTTTTATGTAAAAGTATTTTTATGAGTAGAAGTGGTCTTACCCAGGAAAAATTTTACTAGTTGTCTATTAAGAATTTAAGTATCAATGTGCTATATTTTCCTATAAAAATCATAGCCAATAGTCTCCGCGTATTTTACAGTCTGTCTTCAAATACATTGAAAAGTAGGCAGGAGTATTAAGCTGTAAATAAGTAGAATTTTAGTACAGAGTACAACGATAATACTTTTAGGTTCAACTTTAAATTTTATTTATAGGAATTAATGCTCTTTCTTAGTTTTTATAAGGTTTTTTATAGGGCAATTAATTCACCAGAGAAAACAGCCACAGTTCTGCTGGGTGGTTGCTAATGTAAACCATCAACTTCCTTTCTCAGGGTCCAGCTTAAACAAAAAAATTAAAGGTTGTGTGAGTTAAATTTTATTCCATTTTTCATTAATCTTATTTGGATTTGCCAAGCATGAATAAAAATTGTATTTTCGTTGAATTCAGTCGTCTTACTCTTTTTTTTTATTTCCTCAAACTCTGTGCTATTGTTATTAACCAGCGGGAGTGGTCTCCCCTAAACTTTCTCGTATATTTTCCCAAAAAGGTGCTGTTTCCCTTCCTCCCGCTTGGATAAAAAAATTCGAACCTACTCTAATCCAGAATCCAATGACTATCAGAAGGTTTTTCATTGTAGATTAAAGTGATTCTAAAATATTTACGTAAAGAATCAAATTCAGATATGCGTGCGATTAAACGCGAACCGATTTTCTACTGTTACCGTTTCAAGGACAAAGTTGTGTAATCCTACCGCGTGCACAGGCATTGCTACCAGAGACTGCTACAGTACGCATGCCCATGGAGTTCGTTTCAAAAGGAAAAAAAAGTATGCTATTATACAGACCGACAGACAGTCAGCCCGCTGACGGATTTGGCCCAAAATTTCATACGGACCTACATTCATGACGATAAAACTGTGTACCAAATTTATTCATCTATCTATTCAAGTTTTTGAGTTATAGTGTTCGCATGACCGTGGACAGATAGACAGACAGACTTCCCGTTGACGGATTTTGTCCAAAATTTGACAGAAACCTACAAAATATGTTTAAAGACCACATACCAAATTTCATCCCCGTAGCTTTAAGAGTTTTCGAGTAATCGTGTTCACAGACATACAGACACACAGACATAATTCCAAAATTGTGTTTTTCGGACTCAGGGAGGTCTAAAACGTGAAGATTCGTCAAAATCTCGAGTTCGAATTTTTTGACGATTACAATACTTTCTCTTTGTATACTTCGTTTACGAGAAAGTAAAAAGGTTCGTTGGTAGGCAGCTGTTAGAATTTTATAGGCACTTGACCCTCCAAGACCACTGCCCCTCCACCCCCCCCCCCTTCAAGCATGCATGTCCGTATTCGAACTAAAAATTATGGCACCATCCTGTCCTCGCTTTGCTTCTTCCCTATCACAGGTGGGAAACACATTAAGCTTTTCAACGTCTGGGGAAAATAGACAAAACGGGAATTATTAAAAGGGGAAAATGAAGTCAGCATGTATTGCGTAATTGAATTGATGTTTTCTAGTTTTCAGAGCAACAGTGCAATTACCATGATGATGCGATCTCTCACAGCCAATCAATGAGGGGTTCTAGTGTGTAATGGGTGCGTTGGAAAGAGTGAATTAATAAATATGGACTCGGGTATTTCCTGTCACGATTTT